CGGTGCGAGCCGAGGAGAGCAGGAGCAGGTTTGTTTCGTGGTTAAACTGAGTTTATTCGGTGGCTGATACTAACAGCTAAGATGGGGATACAGCAGGGTAGGGGGAGGAGCGTGACTGTGGGAATGAGTTTATTCAGTGGCTGAGTCAATACCACTGACGTGAGCTATTTTCCTCTATATCCGGCATCTATGTCAGCTGCTCTGCTGCATCCTTTTGTTCCTAGGATAACACTAGTAAGGCACGTCGGTGGTTTGTACGTAGGCTCTTGTACTTACTTGGCAGATGCTCTTCCCTCGTTTTAAACAGCTACTTCAACGTGTCCTTTCATTTGTTTGTCATTGTTAAGGATACTGCAGTTGAAGAGGTGAATAAATTGCATTAATGATTAACTGTTACCTTTGTGGTTTACGATGAAGTTAAACTGACCACGAAGTGTATTGGTTGGTTGATCTCCTGTAACTCAATGGGAATTGTATTAAAGAAGAATCAACTATGCCCATTTCATAACACTGTTATTGTGTTATGGTAACAGTACATCTTGTGATAACATTGGCAGTTTACAACAATGTTCACCTGAGTCAAATAAGTATTTTAGCAAATTATTCAGGGCTGTTAGCATGCTTAAATAACAATTATGCTGTCTTAAAGTTGTAACATGCCTAGTGCCTAACTCAATGCTTACTGTAGAAATTGTGATCTTTGATGCTTCTGTATTTTAATATTTCCTTTTTGTTTTCTGTTAATATGTTAACTTACTCTGTGGTACACATTAATCTGCCGTAAGATACGAGCAACAAGAGATGAGTGCACTGTAAGCCTGTGCTGGATCTGCCCACATAGATCTTATTGCTGGATCAGCACGTAAAGGCTTAGCAAAATCAGTGTGATTACTGAAGGTGGTGAGCACAAGGTACGAGAGGAAATGTTTGATAGCCTATGCTCAGTGAACAAAACAAATGCAACCAATCAGCTCCATGTAGGCTTAGTCCTGCTTTCAGATGTTCAGCTGCTCCACAATGCTTTGGTGTTATAGGTACATTTTCTGCCATTATATAAGCTTTTCAGTGAACCTCTTTAGGCTAATGAGCTTAGACACTTACTCATTTTGTTCTGTATGTCATTTGTGCATGTCTAGGGCCTTTCATTCAAAGATCCCTTAGCACTTGAATCGAAGGTCAGAAGACCTAGGAATAAAACTGGTAACTGAACCTATGCTTTGTTGGGTTCATATATATACACACACAGAAAAAAAAAAAAAGGCTTGCTTGCTCTGGGAATTCTAGATGCTTCCTATATTTTAATTATTATAAAGCTTGGTTACATATTGACAAAAAGAAGAAAGCCCACCTTAGGCAGGAACTCATCTAGCTCAGTTGTGGAAAATCTGCTTAATAATTACCATTATGGGAATCTGAACAGGTTTTGGGGGGGGGGGGGGTTGTTTGTTTTTTTTTTTTTTTTTTTTTAAAGTAGTGGTCTACTTCATTGTAGAAGTGCTATTTCTGAGTGTATTGAAGTTCACCATGGCTCATACTTCTTGTGAGTTTGGAGTATTTCTAAATATATAAAAAATGTATATATGTATATAATTGTACTTGATATCTCCCACCCACCCAAGTGAAATCACAGAGTGAATAAACAAAATGAGACCCTTCTTTCTCCATTTAAAGTAGTGGTCTACTTCATTGTAGAAGTGCTATTTCTGAGTGTATTGAAGTTCACCATGGCTCATACTTCTTGTGAGTTTGGAGTATTTCTAAATATATAAAAAATGTATATATGTATATAATTGTACTTGATATCTCCCACCCACCCAAGTGAAATCACAGAGTGAATAAACAAAATGAGACCCTTCTTTCTCCACACGTTTAGCTACTGTTGTTTAAATAGTCCACCAGTTATGGAAAAACATGTAATTAAAGTCAGTGTATATCAATTCATAATGAAATAATTAGCCTTAGAGCATGGTCAAAATTTGAACAATTTTGGAGAAAAATACCATTCATATAAACAGTTGTGGCTTTTGGGTTCTTTTTTTTTTCCCCCCCCAAAGTGTGTGTTGTGTGATTTATGAAGGGAGAAGAATTCTACCATATTTCTAAATTGTACCATATTTCCCGGTTTACTGTCAAGTTGGAAATATGGTAAAATTAAAGAGTTCTTATATGGGTGATTAATGTAGCTTCCTTAGTTTTGAAGAAAGCTTGGAGCAAAAAAGCACTCTGCATTACTTCGACAGTTTATTCTCAAATATATTCCTGTGCATCTTTTCAAAGAAGCAGAGATTTATGTCCCTTTAATCGGAGTCTTTGAATAGGGCTCTCTGGCTCCCTCTCCCAAACCGGTTGTGACTGCCAGTGGGAGTATTGCAGCATGTTTTAGCTTGATGTCAGATTATGCATCCTTGAATGTATTTTGACTCATTAAAAGTGAGGTCAGATGGAGAACGTGCTGCTTGTCATGTAAACTGCTGCTTGACTTGTTGGGACTCTTTACTCACAGTTTAATTTGAGTGTTCTTCCTAGTATGGCCACAACACATTTTAGATAAACGGCAAGTTTTGTCAGTCCAGGATAAACGTTAATAAAGATTTTATTTGCGCATAATCTGAACTGCTGTGGAGGTGTGTTTAGTAGCTGCATACTAGAGTAACCAGTTCTGATCATCTCCCGCTCGGCTTTTCTCTGCCCGTGCTTGGTGTCGGCAGAAGACGTCCCTTTCCACCTTTGCCGTCTCTTCTTTTCATGTTGTTTGCCACTCACTGCTGAATTTTTTTTTTTTTTTAATAACATGTCTTTGCAGATCCTGAGCATTATAATTCTCCCAATAGATGCTCTCTACTCCAAAATGGTTATTGGGGAACATGCTGCTTTCTGGCCTGTCTTCTAACTGCAGTTGCCACATGCTTTTCTGCAGGTGTGGCCTCTTGCTGTAAAGGTGTTGCTACAAGGCAGATCCACCTTCCTGATGTAGTTCTTAGTGTGGCCTTTTTATTTTGAAATTTAGATACCAGCAATCATCATAAATCTGTAATAATATGGTCTGTGTCTCTTACTGACTAGCCTGAGCAAAGGCTGCCTTTTCCCAGTTAATACTTCGTTATCTGAAAAGTCCAGTACGTAGTACAGAGTTGGTGTATGTCGTAAGATTGTGCACAAGAGCTCTGTGTGCACCCCAAATGCCTTGTTTGTGTATACAGCTTGGGGAAACCAGACTATAAACCACTAGGACTCTTAACGAGTATGATGCTGTCGTGGTCATTGGTATAATGGCATAGGTAATAATTGGTACTAAGGATAAACTCCGTTTCAGCTTCACAAAATCAAGTTGAAAATATGTGAACTCATTATGACATACATCCCTTCCTGTGTCACTGATAAGGTTCCCAGAGCAAAATCTTTGCTATAGAAATAAGTGCAGGCACTCTAAGATGCATTTCAGAAGTCATGAAGTCAGTGTTAAAATTTAGAACCTATACAAATAATGTTTAAAAAGCAGTTTCAGCTGTTGTATTTGTATCTTTAGGCTTTCTTTTTTTCTTTCTCGAGTATTTTTACCTCAGAGGTGAAGATATCAGAACTTTAAAAATTAAAAAATCAACCAAACGCCAAAAACCTGAAAGTGCTCACCTTCAGGTGGCATAAATTAAATTACATGGGAGTTGTGATCACATAATACATGTCTAAAATCATTATCTGACCAATAATGGGAATTAATGTTGCATTGGAAACAGTGTGCTTTTGAGAAATTGGAGATCTTTCCCTCCATAATCATGGTTAATAAATGATTCTTGTTATATGTTTTAATGAGAAGGTTCAAATTGTGGTTGGATAGGGAATGTATTTAAATATTTGGAACAGATAGAACAGTAGAAGTCTATTCTATCTTTACCCCTCAGGATATTAAATAGTGTGTTTATGAATTAAGAATATTTCAAAAACCTATGAATTGAAACATGCTACTAATGAACAAAAATACTGTTTTGCATTTAGTTAATCTGCACATTAAATACATGTGAAGATGTTTAAAAACAAAAATCCTCAACCTAACTACAGAGTATATGAGCTCTTTAGCAGATGCTTTTATCATTCAAGGATACACGCTTCCTCTTTTGTCAAATGTCAGTGCACATGTGGATATCCCACAATTACAACTACCAAAAAAAAGAGGAAAAAACAGTAGATCTCAACTTGTAGGCTACACAGCCTTCCCTGGCTAAGAAAAGGGAAAAAAGAAAAAAGAGGCAGGCTGAAGTGATGGCATTGAAATTATTATGTGTGAGCGCTCTGGATTTCTTATGCTACTCAGTTCTTTATTTTGGTTTATTAGCAGTGAAATCTTTTAATCTAACTGCAATGAAGTATATGTTAGCATGGTCCTTTAGCTGTATAAGGAAACATAATGCCTACCTCAAGCTTGTGATGGTTTTAATTGTGGTATGACCCATTTATTAAGGTTATGGTAGGACTGGAGAGGTGGCAGACGGTGTTGAATGGGAGATGTTTGTTAGAGGGCTAGGGCAAAGAAAGTTGAATGAGGCCTGAGAATGGCAGTCTGCCTGATGTATATAAAAATCAGGGTTTGATTTCAGGGCCTTTGGAAGTAGAGGGAAGAAGGAGAATATAAAATTGCGGATGGAGGAATTGTATGGAGAGGGGCTAGGGGATGAAAATTCCTTTTCGAAAAGTAATGTAGAACAGGGAAGTGGAGTGACTAGTGTAATTGAGTGATACATAGATAATTGAAGCTTCAAACTGCAGAGAGAAATGTGGCCTATTAAAGTATTAATAGTGGAGGAGAGAGGGGACATTTTATTTGACTAGCTCTGAAGGTAGGTAGCAACAAAACATAACTTTTTAGGGGTGTTTTTGTTGATGAAAGAGGAAGAAACATATCACTCTTGTATTCAGTACATGTTTATGAGCTTTCTCCCAGCAGCAGCGTATGTTATCTGAATTCACCACATTCGTGTTTTTTTCTGTGTGTAATTGATAAACTTAAGATGGGTTTTAGTTCCACTGCTTTTAATGAAATGACATCTGGATGGTCCAACAGGTTCCTGGGTGGAGTTACAGATGAACGGCAACGGCAATAGCAATGATAATGGCAATGGGAAAAACGGAGGTCTGGAACATGTCCCTTCATCATCCTCCATCCACAATGGAGACATGGAAAAAATTCTCCTGGACGCCCAACATGAATCAGGACAGAGCAGTTCAAGAGGTAGTTCCCACTGTGACAGGTAAAGAAGTGTTTGCTGTCCTGCATGAGTTTATTGCAGTTTCTATCCTGTGGATGTTAATGGGAGGGTAAAGCTTTTTCTCAGGCTTAAGTTTGTCATGCTCCAGTATTTGGATTACTTGCTGGCTTATGATAACTGGCTATCAAATAAAACATCTGACTGGAAAAGTACATTGTTGCTACAGAAAGCTAAGGAATCCAGGAGTGGGATCAACACCACAGTTAGATTTCACATTGTCATAAAACACATATGGTATAAAAAAAGATCTAATTTTACTGGCTTATTAATAATAATGTTATGTACATGTGCTTTATATTTAATAAAGCATAATATATCATTGAACTTCATAGAAAAAAAGATTCTCAGAATTTGTACTCCCTGCTTTCAGTATTCTACTTTTTCCTGTGAAGGCAAAATATTTCTTACCTAACAATATAGTCCTTTGAGGCATATGTGAGCATTATGATATTCTTATGTGTGTGTTACACCTTTTTCCTAGGAAGTCTTGGGACAGTTATGGAAATCCTTGAGGGGTTTCTGTATATAATTTTAGCTGTCATCCTGCTTATGCCTCCTTTGGTTTTGTTGGATGAATGCTATCTGTCACGTCTGCTGTGTAGCTTATATAAGCAGTTGATCAGATCTAAATGCTATTTAAAATTAGTTAGGCCTGATTTAATTATTGAATGTAGTAGACTGTTTGAAAATAATCCACACTAGTATTTTAGATAGAATGGTTACGTTTATAGAAAATAAAGCTTGTAACATCTGTGTTGCTAAGAAACTAGCTGTCAGTAGTTTAGTACTTTCCAGTCCAACCAGGAATGTTTGCTTAGATGATGGTTGCATAATTTCTTTTTCTTTTACTAGCATAGGATTTTTTCAATCATTACCCACATTTTAAGTGAATGAAGACAGATTCCTTTTTTTATTATTGTTTTTTAAACTTAATTTTCCACTTGCTAAGTTTTTGGTAATTCTTTTCCCCTTCTGACAGTTGAAGTAACGTACAAGAAAGGGGAAGTGCTTTGATATTTTGCGTTCTTTTCTAAAGTTCTAAACAGTAAGTTGCTCTTAAGTGTGGTGCTTTGGGTTCTTTGTGGCTATTTCCAAAATACACCTTTTTCATGAAAGCTTAAGTCAGGTTAAGAAGATGCTCTTAGCAATTTAATGAGACTGACCTGCATTGGTGCATCATACAGTATTTTGTATTGTTCCTGTCTTAAATTTGCTACCATTTCCTTGCCTCAGGTGTGACAGTTGATTAATTTCTTGAGTATCTTACCAAATTTTTAATATTCAAACTGAGACTAACAAGGGGAATATATATTCTTAACAACCATTAAAAGGTGTTTTACATGTGCTGTTTCCACTTGCAATGACATAAAAAGAGGTATAATTCACAATACTGGCAACGTTCTCTAAAAGAAGGAAGGGATGTACATCTTTGGTGTTGAAGTTTAGGGCAATGTTTTCTTTGCTTCAGTGGAAGGATGATCGACCCTGTTGAGAAAGGTAGGATTATAAATGGGGAAAAAATGGAAAGGATGAGGGGTTCTGGAAGATTTTCTTCCACTGATACTTGTGATCTGAAGGGTAGTATAGTCTGTAACTCGTCTGAATAGTGTGCAGAAATGCATGTGGAAATGGTTCAACTGAGATGCTATTTACACTAATGATTCTTTAAGTGACAAAGTGTAATATGACAAAATGACATAATGAAATCAATTTTTCTTTAGCCCTTCACCTCAAGAGGATGGACAGATAACTTTTGATGTGGAAATGCACACAAGTAAAGACAGTAGTTCTCAGGTATTTCCTTCATTAACCTCTAAAATACATTAACTTTTTAAAAATATGTTTTAAATTTTGATATTGTATATAGATCATATATTTATATAGATCAGTAGAGTAAGCTCTCTGTCATGTCAAAAGGTCTAAAATGGTTTGTATTTTATGTGTCAGAAAAATGCGTTAAACTGCTGCTTTCTGGCATATTTCTTTTCCATTGTGAGACCCTAAACATGGCTGTTACCTGCAGTACAAGCAAATAAATTATATAAACCTTATTTATTCAAAATTTGGAGGTGTCCCTTAGTCATTTGGGTAAGGCTGTTTACTTGTCTTGTACTTGTTCTTGCAGGTTTTTACTCAATCTTTTTTATTAGAACTTTATATAGTACCTCCCTGTAAATAGGTGAAGAATTTTTGTGCACTCAAGCTTATGTCAGATGAACTAAATTATCTTTTCTTTTAAGAGGTTGATTTCAGAATGAAGTTTTATTAAATTAAAACACATTCTGGAACAGTTATTTTTAAAAACAAGGCAGAGTTAGTAAACTTTGTTTAGGCTTACATTCTGTATTAATTAAAATTTGACTTTTAGAGTTTAATAGCTTTGGAGTGAGGGGTAAAATGAGGCTCCATCTCTAAAGCTGAGAAATGCCCTGTTTAGTAGCAGTCATTGTTTGACGCTCTGCTTGCACTGTGAGTGTCAAACCTGCTTTGTTTGTTAAATGTTTATATTGCTGCACAAGATTTCAGGGTGTTCAGTTTATTGCTCTACAGATAAGTCAGCTCACATGATAGTGAGTAATCTCCATAATACAAACTGAGAGGAGACTAATGCTGAGCTCTTAGTTTGATCATTTAATAGATTTTGCTGTCTTCAGCAGTATAAATAAAAAGCATTCCTGGAAGAATGAAACCTTGCATTTAATTCTGTCAAAGACCTGGCCGAACAGTAGGACTGTTGCAGTTCTGCCCTGCAGAGCCAGAACGATCTGAATGAAGTTGTCAGTTAGGCCTGCCATCTCACTTTTGTGACTGTCATATTTGATTACTTCTGATTTTGGTATAGTTCCCACTGTAATGTTGTAAGTTGTTTATGTTATTTTACTAAGGGTCACTCAGGGAGTTGTTTTACTACTAAGGAGGAATTTGTACCAAAGTCAGAGGTATTCTCTAGCCTAATATTTTTTTTTTCTATATGGTAACGTTGGCATCTAATGATGTAATGTTAAATGTTTGGATCAAGATAATTGTAGCGAGTGCTTGCTTTTCCCTACTGCATCTGGGATGCACCCAGTAGAAGCTGGTAGTTGCAAGTATTATAAATTTTAAATGACTAGTAACATCTTTAAAAAAGTCAAAATACTTCTTTTGAAACCTTTTTATTTGTCTTTCTTGCTGTGCTTTAGCCATGTTCTGTATGCTTTAAATCGAATGCCATCAGTTTAAAGTTTTTGCCATTTGTGAAAACTTTGTTTAATATTTTTTGTGTAATGCTGGTTTATTACATTTAGGATTAAAATAATCCTTTTTTTGTTAGTTTTTAAAAAAAAAACCAAAAAACAACCAAACAACTTGCAATGATGTGGAGGTCCTGGATATAGTAATAAAATTTGTGGTATACTCACTTCTGCAAATCCTCCTGTTAGCATAATAAAGTTTATTCTAAATTACAGTAGTCCAGTAACACTTGCTTGTTTATCAGGTGCCACCATTTGGTGCTTATCATTTTACCACTGTTGTTGTTGCTCTCAATTTAACACCATAAGGAGGAGCTAATTGAGTGTTATAAGGCTTATCACATGTATATTTTCAGTCTGAAGAAGAAGCAGTAGAAGGAGAGAAAGAGTTGGAAGTTTTGAAGAAAAGTGCTGACTGGGTGTCAGACTGGTCAAGTAGACCTGAAAACATTCCTCCCAAGTGAGTTAAACTCTTTTTTTAATGCATATGCTTTTATATGAAGGAGAAAAGAATCATAGGTCACAGTCGCATGGAATTACTCTGGCTCTCCAAATAACATCATCTTAGAAAAAGATAGATTTCTCTTTGGGGAGGCTATAAAAAGTCAAAACAATGAAGTATGAAAGTCTTAATAGCAACAGAATTACCTTTTTATTAAAAGTAATATAAATCCACAGCAAGCTCATTACAGGGCTTCTTGACAAAATTGTAATTATTAGGAGAGCTGGGTACTTGGAGCTGGGATTCATGGGATTTAGTTTTGACATATTGAATGGAATAGTGTTGAGCAAGTCTCCTAAATTCTCTGTACCTTTTTTTCTTTCTATGTAAAATATGTAATGTTCATCCACGGAAGGGGAAACGTTGAGATCCTTGAATGCAAAGCATTTTTATTAAAATAGAGGATGCTGTCTAAATCTGGCAGACTTCTGTATCTCTGTTTGGAACAAAAAATGAGGCTCTTGCTAACAAATCACATCCTGAAATTCCCTCTCTCGGACCTACCTCTCTCTTCAGCTACTGCTCCCTTTGTCTCTATACTGTCTGTGTAAGTGGTCTCTCCACAATACCTCCTATTATTCTCTTTGATTCCTTACTCTGTGTAAGGGATCTCTTGCTTTGATCTCTAGCCCTTTGTACTTTTAAAAAATGTTCATACTGTGTGCATTTGTGTGAAAAAAAAAAAAAACCCTCAAAAACCCCATAAACAAAAAAAATCTTGTTGAATTTTCCCTCCCTCCCCCTCTTCTTTCAGGGAATTTCATTTCAGACATCCTAAACGTTCGGTGTCTTTAAGTATGAGAAAAAGTGGAGCAATGAAAAAAGGTGGCATTTTCTCTGCAGAATTTCTTAAGGTTTTCATTCCGTCTCTGTTCATATCTCATGTTTTGGCTTTGGGACTAGGGTAAGTATTAATCTACTTCTCTCTCTAACTTTTGGATCTGGCTTTTCCATTTTACTTGTATGTCAGGTGACTGCTGAAAAGGGCTTTAAGTAAAATAAGTAGAGTATTGTTACACCTTGCTCAAGATAGACTTGGTGCGCTTTTTGAAATGCAGGAAAACTTTGCAGAAATTAAAACTTTGCTGCTATTAATATGTTTTATTTCTAGAACAGATCAAGTTTCTTATACTGAAAATGCATGAATTATGAATTTGCAAATAACCTTTGCAATTATAACATGCCATTTGATTATTCACACCTTCTACTTAAATGCTTCAGGTTACCATATGTAAGAATAATTTAAGTAAGAATAGAATAGGTGGAAAACTGCTGTAACTTTTACTAACCATTACAAAAACACATTGTACAAATCATGATGCTGAAGTTCTGTGTGTTTGGCACATACTCTGTAATTTTCAGTGTCTAATGTTGTGGTTGTGTGATATTACTGAAAGTCAAATTTTCAATACTTAAAGAAAGATACATGAAATACTGGATGTGTCCTGCAAGATCAGCTGCGACTCTGCTCAGCAATGTTCTCATTGCCTGCATAATCCAACATAATCTCTGAGCTTGCTCAAGTCCTTGTGTTATGTTTATCCATCTTATGTTTTTCTGTGATGGGGACAAAGACAAGTACTCAAAATATGTTTTTATTTAGCTTCATATTTGTTTCTGGGGGTGTAGTTCAAATGTCTCTTTATATTCTCATGTATTCTGTCCTCCTAATTTATTTGATAGCTTACAAGAATTTATTGTAAGGTATTTGTACTATAGCAAAATTGTGTATTTCTGCGGCGAATTAAATCTTGCCTGGATTTATTTGTTAGAGGTCAGCATTTGCGTAGATCCTCAATGCTCAGAGTTTTAAAGCTCACCCCCTCCCTTTATAGGCAGTACTTTGTTTGTTTTACTGTAGTAATCTGGGAGTGTTGCTCAGCAGTTCCAGGGCCCCTGTGTCAGGTACTCTACAAACAAAACAAAAGGTTTTGGACTGGGGTTTTCAAATGAGCTTGGTACTGGAAGAAACACACTTTTACTGAATGTCGATAGCATCAGTCCTTCTAGTCTCATCTGAAAATCTAAGTCTTTAAGCAGTTTTATAGAAGACAAGTGAAGTCCTTGGAAGAATCTCGTCAGACTTAATTGAAAGACAAATTAGAACAGCTCAGTGCATGAGGACTGTGGAAAACAGGGAGTATTCCTCTGAAATACGATATGCCTTATATTTTTTATTTCAGCATCTACATTGGAAAACGACTGACCACACCTTCAGCCAGCACTTACTGAAAGTTGGATTGCAAAACCTGGAAATCCATGTGACCTGTGAAGGTGTTACTGTCTCATTTAGTACATTTGACTTGAGACCATTTTAAGCATGACCCTGACTTCACCCTTTCCTTACGTATCCAGGTTTTCGCTAACTCTGGAATTCAGTATTGTGTTGGAACTCTGCTGAGGTGTTTGCTATCCACATTCTTTCCCTCTCTCCTCCCATTCCCCTGCCTCTTGGCCTGCAAGACACGTCAGAGTTGCTGAATGGAGTTTACAACTGTCTATATGTTGCAAGGGCTTTTCTCAATGCAAAATGCCACCAGCAAGTTTTAATTTTATCAGTGATGCTGTTGCCTCCTTAGTGCAACCTGACTTAAATTGCAGTTGTGCATGGTATAAATGTTGACTGTATTATGGTGATAAAATTAACAGTCTCTTTGGAAGATATTGATTGGAGTAAAAAATGAATTTTTCTTTTGAAAAACAAGCTGGTTGTGAAATAAACTAAGAAATCACTGGCAATAAAAAACAGTTTAAAACACATTTTGGGGGAATTTACTTGGCCCCTTGTATTGGCTAATGCCATTTGATTTGCAGGAGGCAAAGACTGCATAAATTTTAAAGTAGGATAACTAAATCCATCAGCGTATTTTAATAGGTAATTGTTGTAATCTTGTCTTTTCTATGAAGTCAGCTCCTTATTCCTTGTAGGAAAACCCGTCTGATGCCTAGAAAATATTAGAAAAATTGCATTGTTTGCATGTGAAGAAGCTTTTCCTTACCTGTTTTCTTAAGGGAAAATTTTAAATGTGAAATTTTCCTTTTAAAAGTAGTTTTAAATTAAGGAAAAACCCAACAGCTGTAGGTGTAGTTAGATTCTGTATAAAAGAATATGATTCTGTTTGTTGTGGAACCATTTACAATTATGACGATATGGCAGTTTCAGAAGGTAAAGCATTTGACTTATCTATAAGGGGGACAATCTTGCGGGAACATAGAGATTCAGAAGTTGTAAAGCTCTGAAATGTCTTCTGCGAATGAGTTTTCAATATTCCTGTCTCACTGTTTACTGTACAATCTCCTTTGGGGATACGTGGAATCTGAAAGTCACTCGTGATGTCTCATGTTAGGTAGACTTCTCACTAATGTTGTTGAACTTTCATCTTAGGGAACATTAAGCCTTGTCCTCCTTCAGTGACACTTCTTTTCAAAATGTGAAGCTTTAGTACCAAATTGTTACAAAGCATTGGGACAGTCACGTCCTTAAATAGATTTTATTGGATTTCAGAACATGTAGCATGACTCTGAAGGATAGG